GTAGTTAGTATTTGTTAAAAGTGATTAAATCTTTAAAGATAAATCTTACTGTGGCTGGAAATAGAATGAATGAATTTGCTAACAGACTAGCATAATTAATACGTTTTTCTCTGAACAAAAAACCTTTAAAAATAGCTTTTTAAAAATTTGTAATAAAGAGCCTTTGGAGGGGGTCTTTTATATCAAATCCTAATAAAAAGCTTGATTGTGTTTATTTGTGATCAGGAGTGTGAATACTTTTTCGAGCCACTGTGTTTCTGAAAGCTCCACTTTGCTCTAACTTGTCAGTGCATTGGTCCAAACAGGTGAAGCTCCAAAAAAGCCTGCTCAGTTTTTTATATCTCCTGCCTCTAAACAAAGCACAGAGAGAGGGAGCAGCTGAGATCAGGTCTTGCACAGAGGGATTTTAAAGCTTTATARTTCAGGTTGCATGGAAAGGAGAGTGGGAGGCCAGTTTCACGTTAGAGACACATCCTGCTGGTGTTTCAGGGCGCCGACGCAAGTTTAAACTCAGCTGATTTCTCTGAAACGCGCCTGTCACGTGTTTGCAGAAATAAAGAGATGTTTACCTGTGTTGGAGTCCTGCTGCTTCTCCCTTTTTCTCCTTTTCTTCTTGCCCTGTGGGAGAAACAAAAAGAATCTCCTTGAATGAAATGAGTCTGGATCCGCTCTTAAAACACAGCAGTAATCAGAACAACAATAAAAAACATCAGTTGAGCTGGAAATGATCAGATTTTTGTCTGATAAATCCAGTTATTATGGTTCATTTTGAGCTGGATAACATTATCAGATTAGTCCTCATTTGTGAAAATCAATTAGTGTCTGTTTTTACAATAATTGGAGAGTGTAGCTCTGATTAATAAGAGCATAATGGGGGGAAAATGAACAGAATTTTGCACTATAGAGAATATAGAGGTTTCTGACACGTTTATCCACTTTCAAACTGAAATAAAAAATTCAATTGTGAAAAAAGTTAAAAGCTACAACCAGCAACCAGGTCAGTCATGGTCTTTAATAAAGCAAGACAAAAGCAAGAAAGAGAAATAAGAAAAAAAAAATATTTGCACTGCTTTAGTCGCTTTATCCTCAATTCATGCAAAACCTTAAGTGTCCTCAAGCGTTCTGAAGGAAACGAGATCTTTCAAACATCAGTTTCAAAGTCTTTTTGGTTCACCTCATCTTCAAAATGTTTTGTTTTCATATTTCTGTCCAGGTTTTCGTGGTGCTGATAGTAATGAACGACTGCTGAGGTAAACATCAGAGCTGTCGGCGCAGATCCGGCGACGGTGAAGTGAGGCGAGCTGAAGGATGTGGGAACAGAAATCTACCGCCTACGCTTCGATGTCTGCCCTCCTCGCCTCGCTGTCGGCAGTGTCTGTGTGGTTTTACAACAACTTGCAAATGAAGCTCTTCTACTCTGCGGGCGTCTGTGTGTGTGTGTGTGTGTGCATACACTCGTCTACATGCAGGTTTTATTATATTTGTTGAATTGCAGGAGAAACCCTCTACATGTGTGGGGGCGAGACGTGGAACTTCTCTTCCTGTTGTGCACGTAGGTCCAAAGATGTGTGTGTTTTTTACTTTACAGAGGTGTGATGAGGGGAGTAGGGGTTTCTCCAAATGCACCTGATGATGTTTCAAGGTCAGCATCTCATCACTACGCTGACTTTTATTCTGTCCCAACTGTGGCTCCAAAAAACCAGAGTGTAGGGACTCCGCAGTGGTTTTGAGACACCAACTGGGTTTTTAAATGGTTCCTGGTTAAATAGTTTTGTCACAAAACAGAAATGTCATAAGAATAATTTGATAGATGGGTTAAGTTTAGTTAACACTGGAACAATGCCAGTCTGTGCCACTGCTCTGATGTCAGGTTAGAAGCTGAATTTCTTGCTTTGTAACAAAGTTTAATCTTTGTCCAACTATAATGACTTTTCTCCTCAAAGCTGAATGAGCTTAATGGATCAAGTTTTGTTTCTCAGGCATGAATTTCCAGATTTCTCAGTCTGTTATGAGGTCATATTTTATGTCCAAGTTTCTCCTGCATGCTCTACACTGCAAAAAATGTCAATCTAACCGAGTTTTAAAGACTTATATCAGCCGAAAAGTCTTTTTGATCTTGTTTTGAGACTGATTTACTAAACAAGAACTGATTGTGTAAGAATAATCTTGTTTTCACAATGTGTAAGATTATTTGTCTTGTTAGTCTGAAAATTTGACTCAGATTAAGTCAAAATTTCTGCCAGTGGAGTAAGAAAATTTTACTTGGTAAGATTCTTGAAATAAGAAAAAAATGAGTCAAATCAAGTATTTCAACAATCTTACCAAGTAAAAATTTCTTACTCCATTGCAGATATTTTGACTTAATTTGAGTTAAATTTTCAGACTAACAAGACAAATAATCTTACACATTCTTACACAATCAGTTCTTGTTTAGTAAATCAGTCTCAAAACAAGATCAAAAAGACTTTTTTGGCTGATATAAGATTTTAAAACTTGGTAAGACGGACAGTTTTTGCTGTGTAAACTCTATGAGGAATATGCACAGAGTGAGTCAAAAGTTACAGGACACTTGTATTWAAAAAAGAAAAAGGGTAAACAAGAAAACTGAATATCCCAGCAAGCAATGCATGAGGGGGGCTTATCAGTGAAAACAAACTTGATCTAATATGCTTGMTTTCCACGTTCTGGACATGATAGACCGCCCAAATATCATTTCCCTTTTTCTTTCTGAAATAAAGGAGTGTCTTGTGACTTCTGACTCACCCTGTATGTATAACAACAAACAAATGAAGACTGGATTTAAACAAATAAAAGAAAACAAACAGAAACTGTTACTTATCTTTAGACCACCAGTAACAAAGATTTAAAATGCTGACAACTAAAAGGTTGAAGTGTTGAAATAAACTCTAACACAACCTCACTTTATCCAGCTCACTAACAAAATGTCAAGTGTTTTTATTGCCAATGGGTTTTTCTTTGTTTTAATTCATTTCAATAAATGCATTTAGACTGTTGCATATAAAAAATAAACAGTTTAATAGGCAACAGTTTTTCAACTTTAGCAAACTGTTAATGTTTTTAAATACTGACTTATCCTAACACATTATCTAAGGACTAATACATTACACTAAATCTATGTTTAAAACTTTGGCACACAAGTCAGAAAGACGATTCTAATTTCACTAACTTTTTTTGTCAAATTTTTATGGTTTAAAAGAATAAATCTGACTAAATTAGAATCTGCAGGTCAGACGTTTACAAAAGTTGAAAATGTGAATCAGCCCAGAAAACTGATCTGTACAGCTCTGTCTTTTGAACCATGTTGTGTTTTTTTAAACAGGGAGTTGAGGGATCATGCTTGTTGTCTGTGTAAAGAGTTTGACTCAGTCCTTTTTTACAGAAACAAACAGTTCTGCAGAGAAAAGCAAAAACAGGGTACTACTCAAACTTGGATGCCAAGTAAATAAAATACAGCGAGGCCAGCCATGCAGCCCTGCACTCTGTTAGTTGAGCAATACGGGCTGATTTATACCTCTGTGTTTTACAGACTGACCAAACGAGCCAAGAGTGCATCCATAACCGACCAATCAGATCTGTTTATGCGGCTGCCATCTTTTACGTGCGATCGTGAAGCGTGAGTCACTGAGATTTTTGGAAGGTGCATGCAAACTTTGCACAGAAATGCCCACAACCCCTCTCATGCAGCTCCTCACACACTCATTTCTCACCCCCCCACCCCCACCCCCACCACAGAGGTATAAATCCACCATGAGACGTGTCCCTACCCAATCAGCTTTATTCTTTTCCCCTGCGACCCCGCTAAGGCCCGCCTCCTGCAAGAGTTCAACAGCAAACTGACAAGTCAGAGGCACACAGCAGCCTAGATTCAGCACATTCCCCAAAACATTGAACTAAAATGCATGCACCACACGTGTGTGCGCCTTGTAATGTTTGGTTTCTGATTAGCAGCCATGAGCGACAATGACTGACAAAACAGCAAGTTAGGCGCTTTCTTCCCTTTCACAAATATTCAGGATTATTGAATTGATGTTTTTTTTTTTCTTGGTTTTAAATACAGGGAACAAAAGTTGTTTTTTTTTTTTGATATGGCACAATTTTTTATGGCTTTATCTTTAAACATAGCCTTTTTTGGGAAGTGCTTTAAGACCAACTCGCCTAATAAATTAATTTGATCATTTATCAAGTAAAAATAAATTTTAATATCTTTTTTTTAAGATGGTGAAACTGGAGGGTGTTTATATCCAATTAAATAAACAACCATACAAAAACATGCATTATATAAAGTATGCATTATAAGAAATTAAGTTTTGTATTTTTATATCCCTTTAAAGAAATCTGTTTCTAAATAATTTCTTCCATTTGTTGCATTTTTGGAAGCTGAGCTGTGCACAAATAGCAAAAAGCAAAACATTCTGTTTCAACAAATCCTAACATCATTATGCAGATAAAAACATTTCAACATGTTTAACTAGGTAGTGATTGTTGACATAAGGTGGTAAAAACAATACACAATGAAAAAAATACATTATTTACTTGTTACAAGTTCACAGTTACCATAAGAACCAAGTGACGTCTTTACTCTACAGATGAAGAGATTGTTCCAACCACAACCCAGATATAMAATTCATGACTTTAGTTTACAATTCTGCACAACAAAGTGGAGAAAAAATGTAACCGTTTTCCTGTGCATGTTTGTTAGCCAGCTCCTCACTTTGACTACATTCATAGAAAACTAGGGTGGCGTGAGGACAACAATGGGAAATAAAGAAGTGCTTACGTAGTTGTCCCTAGCAGACCAGGTTGGGTAGAGCTGCATGTGCAGCTGTCTTTCTTTTCGGGCCAACTCGTAGTACTTGGCCTGTTCCTCTCGGGTCAGGGCGTGCCACTGGACACACAGAAAAGGACAGAGATAAGAAGAAATATATGTTAGCTTTTAACATTCTGAAAGCTCACATTAATGTTATTAATTAATGGAGGAAAAAAAACATGAGTTGTTACAAGAACAAAAAGAAAAACAATATAAAAAGTACCATTTGCGTATAATACGTTCTCATGTATTATACGACCCCCACACTTTTTTTGAGCTTAAAAAGCTAAAAAATTTAATCCTCAAACTACCTCCAATTTCATACAGACTTCAAGATTTTTCADHCTTTRYMGTCTTTATACATATCAGTAAAATGATCATTGGACTGTTCATTTTATTTTAACAACATATGTTCTGAAAGGTATTTTGACAACAAATATATATCAGCTGTAGCAGCA